AATTTGACTAAGAATACATATCAATTTCACGATTAAATTAATTGAATAATTGGAATAAAATAAAGTGTTAAACTGCCCAATTCCATCATTGTTTGTGTCTTATATTGGTACTTTAATTTAGTTCTTGGTGCTACAATATGACATTCATTTTAAAAGGTGCTTTCACCTAAGGCCTATGGGTTTGCTCTATTTTCGTAGTAAACTTCTGATTTCTCATCCTATTAGTCATTATACGCAACTGCGTCTTAAAAACTAGTGAAACACACTTGGTAGATAGAAGTTCCAAGTAGAATAATTTCAAATTTTAACTTGGAATAGCAGCTACATAGGATAAATTGCCAATGTTAAAAGTGAACATTGTCTTTTACATTTTAATAATAATAATAATAAATTATAACCATTAAACCAAAATTAGTTTTCTAATTAAAATCCCAAAAATCCAAGTTTTGTACGTCACTTGCAACTTCTATTCTGTCTTAACATATTAAGAGCTTGTTTGGTACAACTTAAAAGTAAATTAAAATCAATTTTTTGACCGTTATTTTATTATTGCAGTCGTCATTTTTAAATTATTCTCTCACAGATAGGACTCACATTATCTCTAACGATAAAAAATTCAATTATCAAAATCCCTACAAAATAAATACTAAATTATTTCTCGTACGAGTTTCGATTGAGACGTGCAATTATCATTTGTTCTATTCACCTTTGTACATTTTTTTTTATGGGTTGTTAGGGTTTATAATTGAAATTTGAAGGAATTCGTAGATAGTCGTAAGGTAAGATATTTACATGTATGTTGTATACAATACGTCTAATATATATTTGATACATAATGTTAGACATAATTATGAATAAAAAATTAAATTCCATTTTTTTAGTATCATTAAGCAGAGTATGCCATTATCGATCGGTTATTCTACGACTCTAATTTTTATTTTTTTAAATTACTCCATGATTTTAACAATTTCTTGTAAAGTATTATCACGTATAATTTTACATAGGCAACGTAAGAAAATCATTTATAACGTACTCGGTACGGTAGATTAGACACCGAGCAATAGCAAAAATAAAAATTAAAACTAAAATCTTTGTACCATCCAGAATAATCTCATCACTTATACTAAACAAATTCTTGGAGTTTATAGTCTGTTAAAAACTTATAGACAAATAGCCGAAGAATCATAATGAAGGCAATTAAAACAAAAGCGTAGGCAATTATACTCGCACATTAAAAAAATTATAAGGCCAGTTGTATTTCGATTACATTCTTGTTTAAGCTAATAAGTACAATAAGAAGACTTTCCCTGCTTTGGTATTATCTTCATCTCTGGACATAATTAATAGCTCCAAATTATTAATTAAAAATAGATTTTGATAAAAGTTTTTGTAATGTCCGGCTGAAAAGTTGTAAGGCCCATAAAAGATGTGGTTAATATTGATTGTTTCACTTTGGCTTAGATTAAAAATCTAATTAAAATCTGAGCCAAACAAGGCTAAATTAGACATAATTAAAATCAATAAACAAGTTTCTCTTAAATAGCACTTTTAAGCTACTTGTAAGAAAATCCAAACAATATTAATTTATGAAAAGTATTAACTCTCTAGTTTGCAGTAAAGAGAATTGTGGAAGATATGGTTAATTACATACATAAATTTCTCTCCACCTAGCGAAAAGTTTATTTGGAAATGAATTAAATTAAAGAAGAAGAAAAAGTCGATAGAAAACAGAAGATGGAGTATGCTAGTGACTTGACATATTGGAGAGATACTGAGATAGGCACGTAGGGACAACTTATGTTATATTTTCCCCCAACTCCTCGTCATGATATTGAAATGTGTCTAAATGAATTTAATTTCTTAACTATAATCGATCGAGCTTCATTTACCTTGCCGTAACTTATGTTTTGTCTGCACAAGAACCAAGTGTACTATAAAACCCTACCATTGCCCGACCAAGAGTTACAAATTCTTGATATAAATCCTATACACACATACTGTCTAATTGAGATAAACCCAAGTAGAAATGGCAAGAGGAGGAAGTACCAGCAGACAACAAAAATGGACTCTCCAGGGAATGACTGCACTTGTAACTGGCGGAACTAGAGGAATTGGGCAAGTTTTCTTCTCTGTTTTTTATTTTTCTTCTTACTTTTGGTTCCGCGGGGGCGAGGTAAGTTGTTCTGGAGAATGAACCTTTTTTTGATTTCTTGTGTGTGTTGGATCTTAGATATGCCATAGTGGAGGAGCTAGCAGAATTTGGGGCCAAAGTTTATACTTGTTCAAGGAACCAGACAGAGCTGAATGAAAGGCTAAAAGAATGGGAAGAGAAAGGGTTCAATGTAAGCGGTTCAGTATGCGACTTGTCATCAAGATCTCAGAGAGAAGATCTAATGAAGACAGTCTCTTCAGTCTTTGATGGCAAGCTGAACATCCTAGTAAGTCAAACATTGGATTCATAATATTGTTCTTCATTTTCTGTTCCTTCTTCTCCTTGTTTGTTCAAGTAGGTTTTATCTTTTCCAGCGTTGTAGTATATTTTCAGGTAAAACTGTTCTTGACGACTAAATTTACAGACAATTTAAGATTTTAGATGAGGTGTAAAGGTCTTAAATTCAAGACTCGGCAACACCTCTTGCACCTGGAGTCGTTCATTGACAGAAAATGAAACCATCCTTTAGTTTAGGCGAAGGGATATGTTGAATATAAAATTTAAAATAACCGAATTGTTCTCACTTTTCTGGTGGTTGGAGGTTGGGGAGGCCTTCTAACAGGATATGTAGTAACTCAACAATATAAGAAAATATGTTTCATCACATGATTATCAGGATGACATATCACAACATAAAAGTAGTAGAGCATGATGCTTAAATAATCTTGTATTTTTGTCAACAGAATCTCAAGTACTAAAAGTCTCTGGGGATTTAATGGATTTAATTTATTGGACCTCCATTTTATATTTATTAAGATAAATAAAAATATGGGCCTTGAATAGACTGGTAGAAAAATTACAAATCGGCAAGAAATAAAAATCAAA